CTCATGTGCACATCTTTGGGATGTGGGAAGTTGTGCGAACTTCACATAGACAATGGCTTTGGCTGGGAAGCAATTGCTGTTCTTATCAACAATATAATAAAATGACATAGACTAAGCAAAGTTATTCAAGGGCCTGCTCTATTCACATTAATTTGTTCAAGGAATACAACAAAAGATAAATACAGCTGTTGTAAGTGCCTGCTTGTTCATTCAGTTATTTACTCAACAAATCTTTATTTTACTGTCTCCAATAGGCTAGTCCTCAAGGATAAAGAGATCAATTCAATAAAAACCTTATTCTCAAGGAGCTCATAATCTACTGGTAAAATAAAAAGGTGCCAACTGCATTTTACTCATGGAATTCAAAGTCTTTTTTGTGAGATGGGGTCTGGCTATGTGGCCCAGGATAGTCTTAGACTCTTGGGCCCAATTGACCCTCTGGCCTCAGCCTCCTGAACAAAGCCTTTTTAATAATAATGGTAAAAACAATCATTAACTTTTTTCAGTGTGCAGTATTATTATTATTATTATCATTTTTGAGATGGAGTCTCACTCTATTGCCCAGGCTGGAGTGCAGTGGCGCAATCTCGGCTCACTGAAATCTCTGCCTCCTGGGTTCAAGAATTCTCCTTTATCAGCTTCCCAAGTAGCTGGGATTACAGGCACCAGCCACAATGCCCAGCTAATTTTTGTATTTTAGTAGAGACAGGATTTTACCATGTTGGCCAGGTTGGTCTCGAACTCCTGACCTTGTGATCTGCCTGCCTTGGCCTCCCAAAATGCTGGGGTTATAGGCATGAGCCACCACACCGGGCTGCAGTATTATTTTTAATACACTTTTTATTTTAAGTAATTTTACCTTTATAGAGAATTTCAAGATTGTTATAGAGAGTTCCAGTGTGCCCCTGTTGTTAACATTACTATGGCACAATTGTCACAACTAAGTTATTAATATTGGTATATTACTAAACTCCAGGCTTTTTCTAATTCCCTTAGTTGTGCTCATTGTCCTTTTTCTGTTTCTGAGTGTTATCCATGATACCACATTGTATGTAGTCATCATGTCTCTTAGAGGCCTCCGGCTGTGTCAGTTTCTCAGACTGTGCTTGTTTTTGATGACCTTAACAATTTTAAGGAGCACTGGTCAGGCATTTTGTCCTTCCATTTGAGTATGCGTAGTGTTTGTCTCACGGTTAGGCAGAGGCTCCTGGTTTGGGAGAGGAAGATGACAGAGATAAAGTTCCATTCTTATCACATCATATCGAAGGTATATGCTATTTATTTTTTTTTAGACAGTCACTCTGTTGCCCAGGCTAGAGTGCAGTGGCATGATCTTGGCTCACTGCAACCTCCACCTCCTGGATTCAAGCAATTCTCCTGCCTCAGACTCTTGAGTAGCTGGGATTATGGGCATGTACCACCATGCCCAGCAAATTTTTTTGTATTTTTAGTAGAGATGGGGTTTCACCATGTTGGTAAGCCTGGTCTCGAACTCCCAACCTTGTGATCTGCCCTCCTTGGCCTCCCAAAGTGCTGGGATTACAGGCATGAGTCACCGGGTACATGCTATTAACATGATGTTTCACTGCCACCGTTGACCTGGATCGCCTAGCTGAGGTAGCGTTGATCAGGTTTCTCCACTGTGAAGTTACTCCTCTCATTCTCCCCTTTCTATATAGTTCTCTTTTAAAAAAAAAATTTTTTTCACTCTGTGTATCCTACACTTACGGAAAGGGGGTTGTGTTCCATCTCCTTGAGGGTGGAGAAACTACATACATTATTTTTAATTCTTGGGCATGGAAGTTTAAAATCATTAACTTTTATTTGATGTTTGGCATTAATAAAGCTCTTTCAAATACATTATTTTACAGGTCCAACTCTGAGATAGTGTAAAGTCTGGTTGGGGAGATCAGACTTACAGAGGAAAAGTTAATAATATGACAACTTTATAAGAAATGTAATTTGTGCACCCATGTTCATAGCAGCATTATTCACAATAGCCAAAGGATGGAAGCAACATTAGTGTCCATCGACAAGCCATGGATAAACAAAACATGTTATAGACATCCAATGAAATATTATTCAGCCTTTAAAAGGAAGGAAATTGACACATGCTACAACATGGAGGAATCTTGAGAACAGACATTATGCTAAGTGATAAAAGCCAGTCACAAAAAGCGAAGTACTGTATGCGTATATGAGGTACCAAAAGTCATCAAATTCATAAAGACAGAAAGTAGAAGAGTAGTTGCAAGGTGCTGGGAGAAGGAGGGCAGGGGTTGGGAGCTGTTGTTTAATGGGTACAGAGTTTCAGTTTTGCAAGATGAAACAAAAGAATCCTGGAGATTCGTCACACAACATTATAAATGTACTTAAGGCTACTGAGCTGTAACACTTAAAAAATGGTTAAGATAGTAAATTTTATGTTATGTGTATTTTGCCACCATTAAACATTTCTAAAAGAAATACAATTTTCAATAAGAAGTATTTTTTATAACTAGCCTTCCAATAAGAGCCCACAGTTTCACTATAAAACAGAGGCTGTAAAATGGTACATTATACAGTTGCCAACATTTTTCAAATGTTGGCAAAAAAATGTACCAGCGATTTTATATATAATAAACAGGCTTTTTTTTTTTTTGAAACAGAGTTTCACTCTTGCGCAGGCTGGAGGGCAGTGGTGCGATCTCAGCTCACTGCAAGCTGCCTCCCGAGTTCAAGCAATTCTCCTGCCTTAGCCTCCCGAGTAGCTGGGATTACTACTCAGCACACATCATCATGCTCGGCTAATTTTTGTAAAATCTTCTTTGAAAAATTGAATGATCTGGTAATGTAAGCCCAAGGGTGTCACCTGGGAAGCATCAGCTGGAGCTAAGCAGCACTTGCCACCTTTAGACAGATCATGCATACTGTGGTTTCACGTGACCCCCACCAGCTTTGATGTGTTACACCCTGCCCGTTTCACTCACTGGTCTTGAACTCCTAAAATCAAGGGATCCACTGCCTGGGTTTACCAAAGTGCTGGGATTAAAAGCATGAGCCACTGTGCTCAGCCTAATTTTTAATTTTTTGTACAGGTGACGCCTCACTATGTTGCTCGGGCTGGTCTTAAACTCCTGGGCTCAAGCAATCCTCCTGCTTCAGCCTCCCAAAGTGCTGAGATTACAAGCAGGAGCCACCTTGCCCCGCCTCCTATGGTATAATTTAAGCATTCAGAACTTTGTGTATTTAAGGTACTAAAAGAACACGTTATTTGGCAATTCCTCTGAAACTTTCACCTAAGCTCTAACTTCCTCAGTGTAACACAAAGGTGTGAGGGGGAATCAGTGCGAACTCTCTCATATTCTCTGGGAAGAAAAGGCTCCTGCCAGAACTTTGTTTCTTTTCTGAGAACACCATTTTAAGAGCACTTTGATCAAGCCTATTGTGATTCCTACCTCACTCCTGACAGATTTTCTTCTTCTGCAATCTCAAGGAAAACATTTCTCAAATGTGCAAATCAGACACGTCTAACCAAGAACCCAAAACTTCAGCACAAACAAAACCAGACATGGTACAAGAAGGCTGCCACTGAAACCCAAGACTATCTCTATCCTTCCAGTGCAGAGCTAAGATTGCATGTATATTAAAGGTGTGTCTACTTCCCAGCTGCCTCTACTCATACAGAACTGTACCTAGCTTTGGAAAAGTGTTCTGGGCAACAATTTGTGTTTGGTGTCATCTGTTATCGATACTCAAGACAGGCCTAAAGTCAGGCTTCTAGGCTGCCAACACAGAGCACTCTGGGAGGCTCAGAGAAGCACTCTATTAAAAACAATGGCCCACATACACCTCCATCATGTCTGCTCAGGCCAGGGAAAAAGGAAGTGTGTGGTCTAGGAGGTGGCCTCATTTGCACCTTTCTGGGATTACAGGTCTGAGCCTAAGGAACAAAGGCTGATTCCCCTAATTTGATGGCCCGCCCAAGGTGTGAAAGGACACCCCCATGCTTGTGAGACATAAAGGAGAGGACATGTCCATGTGTTATGAATATGTGACAGATATTTATTGGTTGCCTTCCCAGCATCTGTCCGTCTTACTACTACCTGGAACCCCACATTTCTCAGCTATGCAGTTGAGGTGAGATGAGGGTCACCTCTAGCTCCAGGGAGAGCTAATCACCCTGATCACAGTTCAAGGATGAACACGTGACCCTTGTCAGAAAGAGACTGAATTCGAAAGCTTTTGATTAAACAATCAGAAAAGCACAGCTTACTTTTTCCTGCTGCTCATGAACAGAATACATATAGATCTAGGAGTCTGGACATCATCTTGGGACCTCAGTGGGAAAGCTGCCCAAGAATGGAGTCAAGGAAGAGTCACTGAAGCCATCAAAATGTAAAAGAGCCTCCATTTCTGGACTGTTTGATTCTATGACACAATACGTTCCCTGTTTATCTTCAACCACTTTAGGTTAGGTTTCTAGTCACTGGCAACAGACAGGATCCTAATCAAGACCCCACTGAACCAAACTTGACCCTGCCAAGGCTTGGCAGTCTCCGTTTTAGTTACTATCTTCCCATCAGTATTTTCAATTTCTTTTAAGACAGATTAATCTAGCTACAGTCATGGTAGAACATAGACGATCTGAAAAAACATTCCCAATATTTACATATTTTAGCATAAAACTCTGTTCAGTGGTTTACCTTATACTTCTCCTTTTTGTACACATCTTTTAAGAGGAACTCAATCTTCCGATTTTAAGAAATGCAAATGGGGCAATGATGTATTAACCCAAAGATTTTCTTTGTAATAGGAAATGTTTTTAAAGGGGAAAAATAGGGATTTTTATTATTAAAAGATAAAAGTAAATTTATTTTTTAAGATACAAGGCATTGGAAACATTTAGTTTCACAATATGCCATTATTAGGCACTCTCTATCTGATTGTTAGAAATTATTCATTTCCTCAAAGACAGACAGAGAATAAATTGATTGGGGATGCAGGCTTGTACTATGCACTTTCTTTGCCAAAGGCGAACGCAGAACATTTTAGAGCCATGAGGATGCTTCTGCATTTGAGTTTGCTAGCTCTTGGAGCTGCCCACGTGTGTGCCAACCCCACAGCACGTCCCACAAGTGCCTTGGTGAAAGAGACTTTGGCACTGCTTTCTACTCATCGAACTCTGCTGATGGCCAATGAGGTAATTTTCTTTCTGATTCCTACAGTCTTTAAAGTGCATAGGTAATCATTTGTGATGGTTCCTTTACTATACAGAGAGATATGTTATAAATAAAATTCTGAGCATGTTAGTACATGGGTGATAAGTATATCATTAGCCAACATTCCATTAAAAATTATGAATGCCAGTGTGCTATAAAAAGTGATTATATTTTCTTTCCTTTTCAGACCCTGAGGATTCCTGTTCCTGCACATAAAAATGTAAGTTAAATTATGATTCAATAAAATGATTGCATGAATAAGTAAATTTCCTATTTTAAGCTGTAAATCGTTAGTTATGATTGGAGCTATTTAATTTTCTATACTTTTGTTTTCATATGGGTGGTTGTGAATGTCTATACAATGTCTATACTTAGAAATATGAGGAATGGCTTTTTAACAAGTAGAATCCTTTCAACAAGTGGTTTAGGCTCTTTGGGGATGTTGTTAGTTTGCCTCGCAAAGAGCCTCATGTCAGGGATTCTTTCCAGAAGGATTCCACACTGAGTAAGAGGTGCCTGCTAGTCTCTGTGCAGTTCTGACTCTGGTCTTCCTCATTGTAATGTCTTTCTGAAAGTATTAGCAACTTAGAACTATATGTTTAGAACCATGGGCAGTAGACATTGAAATATATAACAAATGCCCTATATTAATAATTTCTGCATACTTAATTATAACTATATGATGATATTGTATGCATTTGAATATGTCCTGGTCATATGAAAATGTAAAATATATAATTTTATTTGTTTAAATGGAATAAAATCAGCGGCTAGAACTGTGAAATCACATTGAGGTGAGTTTAATGCATAATGTATTACACTTCCAAAACATTTTTTTCTGGTTACATAATTAAGTTATATCCTTTATAAAACTCCTCAGTAATCATACAAGCTTCATCTACTTTTTGAAAATTTTATCTCAATATGTGGTGGTTTTTGTTGTTGTTATTGTTGCTTCTGAGACAGAGGCTTGCTCTGTCGCCCAGACTGGAGTGCAGTTGCACAATCTCGGCTCACTGCAACCTCCGCCTCCCGGGTTCAAGTGATTCTCCTGCCTCAGCCTCCTGAGCAGCTGGGATTATAGGCACCCACCACCATGCCCTGCTAATTTTTATATTTTTAGTAGAGATAGGGTTTCACCATGTTGGCCAGGCCGATCTGGAACTCCTGACCTCATGATCCACCTGCCTCAGCCTCCCAAAGTGCTGGGATTACAGTTGTGAGCCACCACACCCAGCCTGATTATGTGGTGGTTTGTTGCCTAGAAAACAAACAAAAAACTCTTTGGAGAAGGGAATTCATACCACAAACAAAGCCAAAATTTGTGGACCAAATTATTTTAAATAATTATTTTTTCATCAATAAATTAAAATGTATATATGTTTATTGTGTACAATATGATGTTTTGAAATACATGTTTATTGTAGAATGGCCAATGGATCATATCTTTATACCTTGTTTTGATTATTTGCATTTTAAAAATTTTCCTCATTTAGCACCAACTGTGCACTGAAGAAATCTTTCAGGGAATAGGCACACTGGAGAACCAAACTGTGCAAGGGAGTGCTGTGGAAAAACTATTCCAAAACTTGTCTTTAATAAAGGAACACATTGACCGCCAAAAAGTAAGTTATACACATTCAGTGGAAGCTGTATTTGTCTGGCTGTGCCTAATTCTATGGAACTGACAGTTTCTGATAATACCTACTGTCATTTTTCTTTTTTCACAGAAAAAGTGTGGACAAGAAAGACGAAGAGTAAAGCAATTCCTAGACTACCTGCAAGAGTTTCTTGGTGTAATAAACACCGAGTGGATAATAGAAAGTTGAGACTAAACTGGTTTGTTGTAGACAAAGATTTTGGAGGAGGACATTTTATGGCAATGAGAATGATGACCAATGAAGGGTTAGGCCTTAATTTTCAGTGTAATTAAACTTCAGAGGGAAAGTAAACATTTCAGGCACACTGACACTTTGCCAGAAAACATAAAATATTTAAAATATATTTTAGATATCAGAATCATTGAAGTATTTTCCTCCAGGGAAAATTGATATATACTTTTTTTCTTATTTAACTTAACATTCTGTAAAATGCCTGTTAATAATATTTATGAAATTGTTGAGAATTTGGTAAATTAATATTTATTTCATGTTATATTGTGTTCCAATAAAATAAAAATAGACAACTGTTCAATTTGCTGCTGGCCTCTGCTTTAGCAGTTGAAGGTAGCACGGTCCATTGAACACATGCCCAGTTTGGAGGGAGGGTCTGAGCACATGTGGCTGAGCATCCCCATCTCCCTGGAAAAGTCTTGGGGTTATAAAGCACACCAGAGGTAGAAGTGATCTAGCAGGACTTAGTGGGGGTGTGGAGAGCAGGGACACAGGCAGGAGGTGAACCTGGGTTCCTCTCTACAGTAGACTCAGAACCTGGGATGGTACAGGGTAAATTGCAGGGAAAAAAAAATAAATGAATGTGCTTTCCAAGACTGATTGTAGAATTAAAATGAGTTGTAAGGCTTTCCCTTGTAAAAGGTCAGTGTGGGAACCTGTAACTGGGTTCCCTCCGAGTCTATGAGAAGAATTTTGGCAGACCAATCCCATTGCCAGTATAGAGAGGACCCCAGAAACCCCCTGGCAGGGCCTACAGAGGTTCTTACCCCACCTGATCCTGCAGCACAACAAAAGGAGCAGAAAGACACTGGTAAGGCAGTCTCATTAGAAAGGCTGAGTTCTGTATTCCCAGGGGCAGGGCATGCAACACTCCAATCTGCCTCCTTACGACTATCAGTAGCATCACTAGAGATTCCTCTGTTTGAGAAAACTTCTCAAGGATCTGGAAAATATGCTCTTTAAAATATTTTAAAACTGATATAGACCCAGAGAAGAGACCCAGTAACAATATTCAGCTACATCGTCCATTCTGTCATTCTTTCATTCAACAAATATTTATTGATCACAGGCTCTATGCTGGGTGTGGGATGCAGCTGTGGGCCTGTGCTGGAGGTCCTTAGAGGCCAGTACCCCTAGCCTGGGCTTTATCTGAATGGATTGCAGCAGTATTGGGCTCCACTGCTTTGTGAAGCAATTGCTCCTGCTCTTTCTGGCCATGGGAGAGGGGCCTGAGCAGTCAGACACAGATTCCCAGGGAGGAGAATGCAACTTCTTCCAAAGAAAAAGATGTGTTTTCCTTCCAGCAGACACCCAGGCATGGTGGTCAGGACCCTGCACCAGGTCTCCAACTTGTGCACACACCAAGCCCCAGGACTGGGAGCAGAGCCAGTGAGGGAGGAAGTGGATGAGCCCAGCACCATGCTGACTGCTCTAGAAAAAGGCAGGAGACAGAAACAGGAAACTCAACTTGCAAAAAGACTTCATCTCAACTTAATTCAATTCGGCAGATTCTGAGTTCCAGTATGCTCCAGGACTATTCTAGGGGCTAGGATTCAACAGTGAATAAAATGCAAAATCCTTTCCCTTGTACACTTATATTCTCTCAAAAAAGTTCATTTTCCCTCTTCCTTATAAGGGTCCAATATAGTTAATAAGGACTTAAGACTGGACTACTGGGCTGGGTACGGTGGCTCACGCCTGTAATCCCAGCACTTTGGGAGCCTGAGGCGGATGGATCACGAGGGCAGGAGATTGAGACCATCCTGGTGAAACCCTGTCTCTACTAAAAATACAAAAAATCGGCTGGGTGTGGTAGCGGGCGCCTGTAATCCCAGCTACTTGGCAAGCTGAGGCAAAAGAATCGCTTGAAGCCGGGAGATGGAGGTTGCAGTGAGCCGAAATCACACCACTGCACTCCAGCCTAGTGACAGAGTGAGACTCCATCTCAAAAAAAAAAAAAAAAAAAAAGAAATATTTTATTTACAAATCATTTTCTTAAAGTTTTATTTTAGCACATAATTTAAAAAATATTTACCTATAACAGAGAAAAAAAAAAAGTTATGCCCTGCTTTCACCGGGCACAGTGGCTCATGCCTGTAAGCCCAGCACTTTGGGAGGTTGAAGCAGGTGGATCACAAGGTCAGGAGTTCAAGACCATCCTGGCCAACGTGGTGAAACCCCATCTCTACTAAAAATACAAAAATTAGCTGGGTGTAGTGGTGCATGCCTGTAGTCCCAGCTACTTGGGAGGCTGAGGCAGGAGAATTGCTTGAACCCAGAAGGTGAAGGTTGCAGTGAGCCGAAATTGCCTTCACTGAACTCCAGCCTGGTGACAGAGCAAGACTCTGACTCAAAAACAAAACAAACAAACAAAACAACACTGGAATATCACATCTAAATTCCCACTAATGAGCCCTTACCAATCTGCTAGGTACCAGAGAAGCTAAAAGCAATCAGGGCTGTTTGTAACTAACTGAAATAAAACGACTCAAACTCGTGTCAAGCCTGTTGACAACACACACACGTCCACATGTCACTGCTGTGCATAAACACCTCTGACTCACTACCATCGAAGTCCAGGCTCCTTCACAGGTCATTCAAGGCCTACCTCTGCCTCCTCTAACCTCTGCCATACAGAAATACTAGCATCGTCCACGTAACATCCTTGGTAAGAAAATATTAACCAGGTGCTTCATTCCCATCATTTTAAGTGGTAAAAATTTTAATGCATTATGTCTCAACCCAAACTCTTCAACCAACTTCTTAAAGCATATAAAACTTAGTAAATATATAAGCAACAAACACATTAGGGTGTAAAAATTTAAACAAAATATTTTGCATTCATTTATTTAATTGTAGTAAAATGAGGAGATAAGATATTTAAAACAGTACTTCCTGATCACTCAGCAGTTAATATAATGTTGCTTTGTCTGTATAAAGCGCTGCATGTCCGCTTCGTTAACATACAGAGCCTTTCCGATTGTCTTCTGTGAACTCTGATTTGCTACCAACTGTATTTGGAAAAAATCTAAAGACTTTATCCATTGACTCCCCCATTACTTTGTTAAAAAATGTGTTATGTTTGGGGATATAAATATTTTTCCAGTATAAATATTGGTGGGAAAGCATTGTATTGAGAGACACATTATATGAAGAAGTGTTCTACATGGAAAACATTAATTGTGGAGATGTTCAGGCCAGGCATGGTGGCTCATGCCTGTAATCCCAGCACCTTGGGAAGCTGAGGCAGGAGGATCACTTGAGTCCAGGAGTTCGAGACTAGGCTAGGCAACATAGCAAGACTATATCTCTACAAAAAGAGAGAAAAGTAGCCAGGCATGGTGGTGCATGCCTGTTGTCCCAACTACACAGATGGCTGAGGTGGGAGGATCACCTGAGTCCAGGAGGTGAGACTGCAATGAGCCCTGATTGTGCCACTCTGGGCAACAGTGTGAGGCCCTGTTTCAAAAGAGAGAGAGAGAGAGACAGAGAGAGAGAGGTTCTGTAGAGAATACTAGGCTCTTATTCTTCCCAGAATACCCATGAATTTTCATTACTCTATGCCTTGGTCCACATTATATCCTCTGTTTCAGTATCTTTGTTCTTTTTCGCCCAACAAACTTGTAATTGCCCTTTAGATGTTTTCATTCACCACCCCCACCTTTTTTTTTTTGAGATGAAGTCTTGCCCTGTCACCCAGACTTGAGTGCAGTGGCACGATCCAGGCTCACTGCAACCATTTCCTCCTGGGTTCAAGCGATTCTCCTCCCTCAGCCTCCCGAGTAGCTGCGGCTACAGGCACACACCACCATGCTCAGCTAATTTTTTTGCATTTTTAGTAGAGACGGGGTTTCACCATGTTGGCCAGGATGGTCTCCATCTCCTGACCCCGTGATCCAGTGCCTCAGCTTCCCAAAGAGCTGGGATTACAGGCATGAACCACCATGTCTAGCCCCCTCTTTTTTTTTTNTTTTTTTTTAAGAGACAGTCTTGCTGTGTCACCCAGGCTGGAGTCAGTGGCTTGATCATTGCTCACTGCAGCCCTGAACTCCTGGCCTCAAGTGATTCTCCTGTCTCAGCCTCCCCAGTAGCTGGGTCTACAGGCACTTACTAGCATGCCTAGTTAATATCTTTTAAGATTATTTTCTAGGGATGAGGTTTCACTATGTGACCCAGGCTAGTCTCAAACTTTTGGCCTCAAGCGATCCTCCTACTTTGGCCTCTCAAAGTGCTAAGATTACAAGTATGAGCCACCACGCTGGCCTCTTTATTTATTTATTTATTGAGACAGAGTCTCACTTTGTCACCCAGGCTGGAGTGTAGTGGCACGATCTCGGCTTACTGTAACTTCCACCTCCTGGGTTCCAGTGATTCTCCTGCCTCAGCCTCCCGAGTAGCTTGGACTACAGGTGTATGCCACCATGCCTGACCCCCATCTCTGTGAAAAATCTTGGTCAGGCTGGTCTTGAACTCCTGACCTCAAACAGTCCACCCGCTTTGGCCTTCCAAAGTGCTGGGATTACAGGTATGAGCCACTGCACCCGGCCTTATTTTTTATTTTTTTAAGAGATAGAGTCTTGCTATGTTGGCCAGGCTGCATTCAAACTCTTGGGCTCAAGTGATCCTCTCATCTCAGCCTCCTGAGTAGCTGGAACTATAGGCAAGTGCCATCATACCCAGCAGTTTTTTTAATCTCAATGTACCTACCTGTTACCAGCTGACTTACTGCTTTCCCGGTCTCACATCACAGTATACATTTATCATCAGGATCATGACATAGAGAGAGTAAAATGCACAGGGCTATAAATGTAATGAGATGTTACAAAAGTTTCAAAGCCACATGAAGGTTCTGCCAGGTGCTAAGAATATTTATTCCATTTATATAATAAAGAATTAGAAAAATAGTCCCAGGGTATAAAAGACTCAAACCTAAGAGGCTTCATTTATTACTTGTCCTATGGAAGTCCCATTCTAACCAAAGAATCATGGCAGGTTTAGGTCTTCCAGGTGTCAATATTAGCTCAGCCCTCAGATCTAACAATGCTTGAAAAGTCTGAGTACCTCCTATACTAGCATGTACTTATCCTAATGGCTGGCTGGCTCTAGGTTTCTTTGGTAAAGGATTAAAGAAAGTTTACTGCATGTATATGTGGTGGGATTGTAGAGTCCTTCCGTCCAATCAATGGACATTAGGTTTATGAATGCCTTAGACCTGGGAACTGGATGAAGAGCCTGCTTTTCCACTGTGGTGGCTGATGTCAGCCCTTTACCTGATTACACGTACATGCTAGTTGATTAT